TGTAGTTGAAACGATGCTTCCCAGGTAGCGTAGGTGAAGGAGGTTGCTTCTTTCAGATTTCTCCTATTTATGCTGATTGTTGTCTGTTGTAGTTGCTGTTGTTGTTGGCCAGGAATCTTTATCACCTCTGTCTCCACCTTCTCTATGTTCACCTGAAGTCCTATTTTTCTTTGATTCTTCTTCTGTCAACTTGTTGCTTTTCATCAGTTGCATATCTTCCAGTGTTTGTGAGAAATCAGACCTATATCGTCGGCGAAGTCCAGATCCTCCAAGTTTTTTGGTCTGGGTCCATTTAATGCCATCAATACTTTTATGTTATTTAGTCCAGATAAACAGTTGGACTACCCAAAGTGCCACTCTATTCTGCCATTACATTATCTGCCTTCTAATGAACACACAAAATATAAATTTTTATTTCTAATGTGAAAGGATTAATCGAAATATGTTGACCCTAGAAGTTAATTGTCAGTTACTCCAGTGTGTATATACTCAACTGCCTACAACACACACACACACACACACAAAATATGTGTGATCAGCCGTGTCATTTCAGTTATCAATCACAAAAATCTAATAATTCCTCATGACATTCCAACATACACTTAACACTGATTGACATATGAAGTCGATATATCAGCTATCAACTACTCATGGCTTTCACCTTTTCAAATAGAGAGACGATATTCTCCAAACACTTTTAAACTGACAAGTAGTGTAAAGTGACTGACAGAGAAAACAAAAACCCAAGTTATTCAAGTTATCATACAAAAATACGAAGCCAGACAATATATTTTTACATTTTTTCTATCGTATCATAAAACGACGAGAGATGATATGGGTTCTTTTCAAGAAATAAACTGATAACCTTTATTTTCGGTAGGAAATAAATTTAATCGGCACCAGAAGCTGATGAGAAGTCAACGAAATAAACAGTGATGGTACCATTTTATTCTGCACAAACCACTGTTGTTCTTGCTTTATTCAAATTCATTAAAGGAAATAATGTATGAAGAAAGCACACAAGATTGTAGGAAATTCTAAATACTTTATAAACCTTATTCAATAGGTATGGGATGTTGTGAAGTGTCCGGTGATTCACTTCAGAAGGCTGTGTGAAGCTTTCGAAGTGAAGTGATAGGAGGAAGACGAGTCTGCTGCACCGTCACTGATAACATTCCTGATTGTTTTTGGGATGGACAATGCAGCACATCGTGTAGACCGAGAAGAGGGATAAACGTCAGACTGATGGAAAGATAGTGGAAGATTTTGGAATTAGCCAGTGATTTATGTCTAATATAATATGAATTCGTTGGACATCACCTTCAGACAGTTCCAGTGTTCTTCCATAAAAGTTTTCTCAGTGATGCCATGTAGTATCTTCGACTTTATTCGGACCTGATGTGTAGTGAAGACATCCCTTGTAGTTTTGTCCTTCAGTTTCTGAATGTTGAACTTGGATTACAGTTGCCTGTCTCCAGTTGTTTTCATGGATTTCAGCTTCACCTTGAAGGTTCCATGAACTAGATGATGGTCTGAGTGAGGTCAGATCTGCTCCCCTTCTCGACTTTGTGTTAAGCAGTCTGAGTCTCCACTTCCTTGAGCAACATTATGACGAAATCGCTTTGGTCTGTGATGTTTATTTCAGGCGAAATCCATGTTGCTTTGTGTATATCCTCGTGTTGGTTCACTCTGCTTCCTATCACCAAATCATTGAAGGCGCAGAAGTCTGAGAATAATTCTCCATTCTAATACATTTCTCCAAGCGAGGGCATCTCGATCCATGATGAGTTCTCTTCCTGTATTATCTGCTCTCAGTTCGGCTTGCATTCTTATCGTCCATGGGGATTTTGATGTCACCATTTGGGATGCTGTCCATTACTGTTTGTTGTTGTCTATAGAAGTCTTCCTTCTTCTCTTGTTCTGCGTTGTTTTAGCACTGTGGGTAGCGTTGTTTAGTGTGACCTTCCTTCCATCCTCTTGAGCTGAATCTTGCTGTCTTAATCCTGCATGAAATTGATTCTCACTGCATTAGGGCTTTGGATGTTATTGGTGACATCATTATATTCACTGCCTCAGTGTGTTCGTGGTTGTCGTCTTGGTGGTGAGACCGGAGAAGATTACTGACTCTCCAGGTGACAGTTTGGTCAGTCCTCATACAGAACGACTAGTCTGCCACACTAACACCGATAACACTCCTGATTGTTTTTCGGATGGATAATTCAACAGACCGTGTGCGGATCAAGACGAGGGATATACGTTGAACTGTTGAAGAGATAGTGGATGTTTTCTGACAGGAGTTGAAGTGAACATGGAGAAGACAACGGAGATGAAGATAACCAACAAAACAAGCATCGGTCACCATTAGTAAGAGAAATTTGAAGACAGAGGGGAAGCCCTTTCACTCATTTCAGCTACAGGCATCAGGCATCTCAAGGGATGTCAAAAGTAAGTTTGGAGAAGCAAGACACACCTACACTAATCTGAAATCAGTGTGGAAATCTGCTGCGCTAACTATGAAGAACAAAATTCGAATCTTTAACACCAATGTCAAGTCAGTAGCTGAGAGTACTCGACAGCTGTTTCATCCTAGTCAGGGGGACTCTTCAACAGCACCCACCCAGGATTTTCAGGTTATGCGGCCACTTGGGCTGGAATTCAATAATCCATGAAATGTTAAATTCTGCTAGCTCTCGATTTTAACTCAATCGCTAAACAATATCATGAGTGTTTATTTGTCCTTACTTCTGCGACTCAAATCGAATCTCTACAAACCAACTGTTGAAAGTAATAGCTATCTTATATTCATGTCTCTTGTTTGATTACTGTGCTTAAACTTATAAAAAATGACCTTTAAAAGTATGTTATCTTTACTGATATCAACTTAAAGGTTGTTAAACGTTGAGGAGAAGTCGCAAGATAAGTGAGTGAGCTCTTTTTTATGCTGCGAATATCTTCATTCTTGCTTTATTCAAACTAATCAAGGGTATCGGATGTATATTTCAATTTATTTATTAAATTTGAATAAGGCATTTAGAAACCAATTTTCGCGAGATGATATCATTTCGTAGTTGCTTTAAAACCGCTTTACAACTAACATGGTTAACAACCAGTTTTGCTCCTATCCTGTATAAACGTTCCCTATTGAAATGTTTGTTGTCAAGGGCCAGAAAAACATGCACGAGTGACACAGTGATGGATGAGTTTCGACATTCACATTCAGTTTTATTAGCTAATGGTTATCGGGAAAGCTTTATCACTTGTCACAGTAAAGAAAGACCACATCTCGAAAAGACAGCTTCTGTACCAAAGAAAGCTATCTTTATTAACCTACCATTCAAGGGTGACCTGATTATGCAGTTGACAGCTCAAAGACTTAGGTCAGCCATCGAGCGCACATTCTACACCACAACTCTTTTTCTCACATCTCGGACATTTTCGATCACTGTACCTACGATTAAAGGACGAAATTCTATGGACTCTGCTTCAAACTGTATCTACAAGTTCACCTGCAGCTGCGGTGACACACACCTATATAGGTGGAACCAACAGAATGTTCCAATGTCGTCGGAAAGAACATGTTCCAAAATGGCTACTAAATCACATAGAAAATCCCAATGCCAGTAATCTGAATAGAAATCCAGCATCATCCATTGCAAAACACTTATTAATGTCAGGTCACAAAATCAATATTAATGACTGTTTCACAATTATTTCATCACATAACTCTAATTCAAGGTTGGTTATTGTAGGTGATGGAAGCACTTTGGGGGATTAATCACATACAGCCGAAACTGTGTGTACAAAAAGCAACAGACTTCAATCTTCGCCCACCATGGACTACATGACCTATCTAAATATGATTGCTCATTAGTATGTACTTTTGTGTTTTAATTTAACTGAGTAATTGTCATGAACTTAATTTTACCTTATTACTGTGAACCATGTTAGTTGTTAAGCGGTTGTAAAGCAACTACGAAATGATATCATCTCGTGAAATTTGTCTTCTAAATGCCTTATTCAAATTTCTCGAAGGGACTAATTGTTTCAAAAATATTTCCTAAAGTTTGTTTTATCACTTCGCATCTCTGGGTGAGCATCGGGCTTCAAGTGTGACTAGCAGTGGTGATTATGTTTTAAGGGGTGAGGTCACTAGCTTCATAACCAGCATTCCCTGTTTACCTGCTAAGGGAGATAAAGGAATGTATCGGCTGGGTATCAAACAACGGAAAACTTACGTTGTGGTCGGAGGCTATCGTATCACTGAATCACTGATGCATAAAACCTATGGACACACCCCAGAAGGGTGCAACTGACCCATTCCGATGCCGGTTGACTATTAGTTTCAAAATTGCATCCTGGACCACCAAGAGCTATCCTGGAACAAATTAATATCGATTAAGGAAGGGTCAACAAGGTCGCCTTGTAACTTGAAGATCCTGGGTTTGATCCCCAGTGGAGTCATGGGTACGTACTGCTGAAGAGTACCGAGACAGGACAAAATGACTGTCCAGTACACAATACTTGTGATCAGTCTATCCTCTACAAACCAACAGTTGAGAATTAATGTGTCGCTTACTGGTGACTGGCCACATGGTGATGTTACCTAAAGTTCTGGTGGGTAGTGGGGTTATCAAACCACATATGCAGGCAAATAATTGCTGATGATATTGGCTGCCGAATTGGTTGGATTAAGAATTCACTGGATTCCATTCCAGTGACTAAATATACTCGGGTCATGTGTATGTGAGGCTAAAGCGTCTCAAAAAAAGACAAGATAGCTATCCAGTACTACTTCGTTTTCAGAGGGACCCTTCCTTCAAACCAACAGTTCAGAATTAAGGAATCACTAAGGATTTTGGAGAACTAGGCGACTGTTTTGTCCTAGTTTTGAACTCCTCAAAAGCACACACCAACGAGATTTTACCATGAACAGATACCCAAACAATCGGGTTTCAATCATCATTATCACCTTTATTGTGTTTTAATTTCTATAGACTTACTTCAACTGTATAAAATGCCACTTTAGGATCACTAATATATCCACTATCCAATGCTTTCAGGGTTAATCTTTGTGCCCATTGTATTGGTATCCAGTATTCTGGTGTATAATTTGTTTTAGTTCTTTTAAACCAATCAGCTGCTATTCTTTCAAATGATGATATCTCTGCTTCAGTGATTAATACACCAAATGAACTTTTCACTTCTATTGAAGAAGAATAAAAACAAACAGGAGTATGTAATTGAGCCATTATTGGACATTGAAAATGTAGCGCTAATTTTAAAAGTTATTGATTAACTGGACTGGATACATAATCATAGTCTCATGGTCCATTCATTTGATTGATTCCCAGAGGCTGCAGGATTAATGGACTCATCCTGTAACTTGAAGGTCATAAGTTCGGTCCCCGGTGAGTTCATCGATAGGTACTTCTGAAAAGTCGTAAACTAAGAAGAAACAGCTTTGCAGTCCTTCCTGGTCTCCAGTGGTTCTCCAGCTGGAGTCATTTATGATCTAAACTGAAATTTTTTAAATCCCCAAGATCCCACCTATAGACTTTGGTTTTGTTAAAGATACAACCTTCAACCAATGTATCAGTAATTAGACATCGGGGGGTAATTCTATTTTGCTATTCAAGAAATGATTTTCTACAAATTCACTCCATTTTATGTCGGTATATTGGCATTCATCAACAGAAAGTCATTTAGCCAAGCCTAACCCGTCTGTCACCTTCAATTAGGAAGATAAGACTGAAATATTGGGAGCAATCGTGTGTTTTCAAAGATAGAAGCAAAGTTTATTCAACCACCGATGTTGGAGTGTTACATCGGTGGTACATTGGTAGCATATTCCCCAAGCGCGCCCTTGGTCTTTTTCTAATTCCCAGTTAACCTCACCTAGCCAGGAAAAGAAGGAAGATACGGTGTGGGGCTAACAGTCTCACCTCGTAAAAACAACTTCATCGCTACTAAAGTTCTATTTTCCCCTAAGAACGCGAAGAATCCTACATGTTGGGAAAATTTTTGCACAACCCCCAAGTAAGTGGCTTTTCCTGAAACTTGGAGGCACTTCTCATTTAACGGAGTTGGCGAAACTCCTAACTCATTGGAAACGTGACTGACTGAACTCAATCTGCACTAACACAAAGGAATAAAGGAATGAAATCAGTTACTCCATAGTAACCAGTCAGTGTATGCATTACAATCCTACAGGAAGTCAGTTGTGAGGCCAAATAGCAGTGTTAACGTCTCTGACTGCAGCTTTGAGTGTCACAAACTCAAACCTCAGAGGGGATATACGTTTCCTTAATGTTACAGGCACCTCCAGTTGACGGGCGCCAGCAAGTGTGAAACTTATGTTCATGGGTTCCTTCCGATTGCTTCCAACCGGCTTACAGTGGCAAAAATACCATATACAACGTGTCTGTCTCCCGATTATTTCCTCCGAACATTCATCTACACATATAGTGCACTAGACTATTTACATAATTTAGTTTTTGGTTTGATTACAAATGATACAGAATAGAATTCAGAAGGAAATGTTATGTATCCATGGAATATATATATATATATATATATACTTTATTTCCTTCACGTTCCTCAGTGGAACATAGGGCTTCAGGCTAGTGCCTTGAAGTTTCTGTAGCAGTGTTTATTTTTACAGGATGGCTTTGCTAGCCTCATGCCCAACCTTTCCTCTTCACCAGCGTTATATCTGGCTTAGTGAGGTAAAGGAGTGCGTCGGCTGGGGATCGAACCCCGGACCATGTGCATGGTCGGCGAGCGTCCCAACCACTATGCCACCGACGCACATTGAATATATATAAAAGAAAAGAATTAATGTTGTACAAATAGCTCTTACTCTGATCTTGATTGAACGCTCTGAATGTCTCTCTGAGTTCAACAACATCTGCTGCCTCGAATGCATCCGGCAGTACACCACATTCTTCATCAGCTGCTAGAGGTGCCAATGGTGTATGAGCATCTGGTGTTTGAGGACGACCATACAGATTGCTATTATTATTATTACTATTACTATTGTTATTATTATAATTATTTGCATTCACTGAAGAGTAGTCAATCTTATTTTGTTGTAATTGACCTGAATTTTGAGATGTTTGTTGTTGAAGTACAGATTTTGATGGAGCCGGTCGGACCACTTCACTAGCATCGATTGACCATGGTTGACATGTATTCCTACTTATTAAATGTTTATGATTAGTTGATTTACGCTTGGGAAGTACAGGTCCCAGAGCGCTTGGAACACTGCCTGTTTCATTTTTAATAAAACGACAAGCGATTTGATCTGATATCCGTTTCATCATAAGTACCCAGGCTAGATTCATGTAACGCATTATTGTTAGACGAATTTTTCTTGATCCTGCTTGATTTTTTCCATTGACGCTTGACTTTGAAAAGGAAAAAATAAAGAAAATATTTGAAAACAGAGTTAATATATATATATATTTCTAGACAGTCATTCTGGTTGTCTTTGCCTATAGATGTTTGCTCTGTATCTCCAGTGTTAAGTGGTATGATAAGTGGAGTAATAGTGAGGTTAGGTGAGGAAGAGAAGTTAGTTGGCGAGTTTCTGATTGTGATACCTAGGACAAGTGTTGAGCTTGTCAATTCACCGCCTTCCTCGACGGTCAATGCTAGCTGACAAAGAATGAAGTTGGGAAAGACTTATCGATGATCAAATCAGAACCTGGTATCAGTCGACGAATTCTTCGACATTTGGTTTGACCTACGTAGGCAGCTGTATACTGACTGGTTGGTGTCGTCAGGATTCTACGAACCAGTGGCTTGATACTGTTAGAGATATGCCTCAAAACTGTTCTTCGTAGTGCAGATGAACTCATCCCCTGTAATCTCACAGTCCTATGTCAAAACACAGTAAGAGAGTCAGATACTTATTCTCATTCGTCAAACATTTTCCAACTACTTAACAAATTTCTCATTAAGTGAATACACCTAAAAAATATGCGTCGGTGTTTCAGTGGCAGAACACTCACCAACCACGAACATGCCCGATCCCCTCCGGCACACTCCTAAACCTCACTCAGCTGGTAGCAAGCCATGTCAATAATTGAAATTGAGTTTGGGATTTGCATACCAACTTGTAAAAACAACAATATCATCATTGAAACTTCAAAACTCCAGCTTGAAAACCTATGTTTCCCATGGAACTTAAGGGAATGATCTTATAAATATTCTCCAAATATTTATTCTTGGCATACAAAGAACCCCAGCCAAACAGTGTACACTTTGATATTTGGCTTTTTCTAACCAACAGTCTGAAAGTTCATGAATTTGTATCATTTTTTCATCATCTGAAAACTTTCTTAACTGTTTTCCACGATGATTTTATTTCTGCTAACACCACCTGTTGAGGAAAGAGGTAGCATCACATAAATAACTCATGTTCTGGCAATTTTAATCCATGCAGCTTCACAACCACACCGTCTGAGCCTTCATCCCGAATAAACACTTTATACCTAATATAATTATTGCTTATCATGTTAGTGTATGCGAAGTGGGCAGTTGGCTGTAGAGAAGTATTGTCACCAGCTACTAATCATGATGATGATATGGAATTCTGAATTAGGTTGTCACGTCGTCAACTAAATTTTGACAAGCTTTTGCGCCACGTTGTGCTCACCATCTGGTGGAATCAGTAGCCTTTCTGTGATCAGTTTGGATAAGACAGCAGAAATTCGTCAGCATTTGCTATCCTATGGTTGAAGGTTATCAACAGCTTTTTCATCTGTTTCTACAGTAGAGTGGATACGATTCCAGGCCTCTACAGAGTAAATATTGCTGTCACACTCATATATATATATATATATACAAGACGATTCAGATTTTCAACAGAATTGTGAAGTCAGTCAGTTCTTCTTCCTCTCAGAAACTTGGTCAGTGTGTCACGGAGATGATTTCCAACAATTTCCCGAAATTTATCAAAAGCTGCCTTCTAAAACTCCATATGGAAGATTAAATTGCCAGAAAGAATGAGCAATAAGAAACTCTGGCGATGAAAAAACCAACAGGCAATAGGCGATCGGTCAACAAATATGTAGGAGAAAATGGAGACGAATTGTGTACACGTTGAGGAGGCCATTGAATGATATCGCGTGCCAGACCATTGCTCGAGTGGAATCCTGACAGGAATTGACTAGTGGGTTGTCTGTCCAAGGGTGACATGGAGGAGGTCGTATGTGAAGGAGGAGATGGGAGACTATGTGTAGTCGTAGAATCAGATGAAGAGAACAGCAGAGAATAAAAGAAAGTGAAGATGTGTTGTTGAAGCCCTATTTTCCACTCGGAACTAAAGGGAATAGTAATAATAATAATTATTCATACTAGCAAACCGTGGGGATAATAACACAATAATAAATGAGTAAGTCAACAAAATACAGAAGACGAACTCACAGCTACTTGAAGTGCTATTTGATTCATCCATGGGATAAATAAATACATTTGATACCAACGTGTTATAATACCAGCGACAAAGAAACCCAGCAGGAAAGATATTGGAATGTCTCCTTTAGTTTTTTCACAGAATTCAACAATTTCTTCAAAAGTTCTAAAATAAAGTGGAGAGATGAAAACAAGAAAGAGATTGTAAACAGTTATGAAGATTATTCATTTCTGGGAATGAATTTTAAAAAAAAACAACGCCCATATTGTGCATCTCATAGCAGTTTTCAAGAGTTAGTCAGTTAGTTAGTTAGTCAGAGAATCCTTGGAAACCAAGCGGCAATGGATAGCTGTTTCGTATGAGTTAGCTACTGTGAAGATTTTAAAATTCAAACCCTTGTGGATTGATTGGTGGGTATATACTGGTGAAGAGCCTCAAACTAGGACGAAACAGCCAAACACTACCCTATAGTTTTCAGCAACATTATTCTGTCACTATAACAGTTTGTTGTAGGTCAAAACAGTTGACATCATTAAGGTCGCATACAACAGCGGGTAGTTACAATGAGTGAAAATGGATTTCTTTAAAGCATTCAGGTTTCTTCATTACTGCCAGCACATATCGATTTGTGTCTTGGATAAAATAGGTAGACTTCTGCCATATACTACTACTGATTGGTACAACTACCTGGAAACTACTCACGCCAGACAGTAGTGCTAACTGTCGGTATTAAAGTGATCTAAAAGTAGGACTGCTTTTTACCCCCTCTAAGGCTGAATACGTCAATGATGAGCCAAAACTGACACACACAGACCGTTGAGTCAAACACTATCATTCAGGATGTGCATAGATGTGTGTTTGCTTCCTCGGTTTCTATTTACCCTAGATAGAGCAGATCACGTATTCTGACCTGAAAATTTTCGGCCTTCAAAGGAAACTATGTGTTAATTTTCCCCTCGAACCGTGTAATCCTCAAGTCATGAATATGATTCATGGATTATCAGTTCCCCTAAGTAGCTAGCCAGAATTCGAGGGGTTTGAACTAGAGCAGCTCTCTAGGCTGATTCATTCAGGGTACACTCCTAATAAGTTAGCCTTGAGACTCACAAAACAACCGTCTTGTGCTTAGATCATTGATATAAGAATAAAACTTGGGCACTGTGGTAGAGTGTAATTCCATTACGGGTAAATTTTATTTTGATAGAGTCTCACAGTGTTATACAGTAATATTTATTGATGACGTTTCGAGCACAATTTATTGCTCATAATCATATCAAGATCCCTTCGATCTGACCATCAGCTACTGTTAGACACGAATGGTTTCCAATCGAAAGTACATGTCTTCATGGTTTTATGCTTTGATTTTCACTTAAAATAGAACGTATTTTGTGATCTTCATACCTTTTGACACTAAATAAGACACTTAGTTAATTTCATCCTCTAACTATGAAATCCAAAATCTGGTGAATTTTTTTATTCCTTTACGTTCCCAGTGGAACATAGGCCTTCAAGCTAAAGGATTGAAGTTTCTGTTGCAGTGATGATTACTTTTAAAGGATGGGGTCGCTAGACTCATGCCCAAACTTCCCCTTTGCCAGTTGTATTGCTAGCTTAGCGAGGTAAAGGAATGCGTCGGTCGGGGACCGAACCCTCAGTACGCACTCCTATGGTTCAAACCCAGGACCTTCTAGTTACAAGACGAGCCAGCTCGTAGACCACTAAGCCACTCGGACCCTATCTAATGGCCCATGAATTCCAAATTCTGCCAATTCACGACATAGCGCAACCACTAGTCAATGTCTTTGGCAACTGGTCCTATTCAGGTAGGTTCTAGTGGGAAGTTGTGACCAGTAGGGTAAAGCACGTTGGGCAGGTGTGAGGACAAATACTCTTCAGCGATGACATTGGCTAGTGCCAGTCGGGCTATGTTATGAATTAGCAGAAGTTAGAATTCATGAACAAGCCATTGGATCGGGTCCCAGTGGCTTAGTGGTCTACGAGCTCGCCTTGTAACCAGAAGGTCCCGGGTTCGAACCTCGATGGGTGAGTATTGCTGAGGAGTCCTAAACTAGTCTGACGGAACAGCTGTTCAGTACTCCCAGCTGGTTTTCCAATGGTCCTCTAACTGATAACAGCTCATGATGAAATTCAGTAATCAATTTGAGTGTGTTTACAGAAGTGAATACTCTGATTGTGTGGAAAGGCTGTCGTCTACCCGTAAAATAGAGCATTTTCCCATGCGGTTAAAGAAAAGCAGCTGAAGTCAAGGTGTTAAAAATTTCAATAACGAAGCGTTCTTTAAATCACGGACATGACAATGACGCTGTCAAGTCACTCACTGTTATCAGGAGACAGACAAACTGAAAGATGCTTGCAGTTGGGAAGGCTTGTACAGTTAGAGTTTGTAGAAACAGTCTACGCGTAGAGAAGGAATCTGCCATCGTAACATCTTTTATTTATTACCTTTTATGAATATTAACTCTTGCAGTTAATAGTGTTCTCTGAGCTGGTTGGTTTAGTTGCGGAGCTTCCGTCGTCCTTCTGGACAACATCCCCTTTCAGCGCAATATTTAGCACAAAGTGGAATGATTTATATTTCTTCATGAGTGATATAATTGCGTCTCCCGGTAACCATCTTTATTTAGATATGTAATGACCACTTTCTATTGACTTGGATTTTAAACTTTCTGGTCACCTGATTTATTTTTTATTAGTTGGTATATTTCGTCTATATTAACGTGCTTGTTAATTGCATTTCCGTTTGAGTACCAAGCTTCTAGGAATTCTACGGCACTTTTGGTGTTTCCTCTTTCTAAGATTTTGACATTATCCCAATCAAACGGATGTCCATAATTGTCTATATGCATTGATACTAAAGAATATATATCGTGTCTTTTCACGGCTGATTTGTGTTCTTGGATTCTAATTCGAAGGGGACGCCCACTTTGGCCGATGTAATGCTTGTTACAGTTCATACAATTTATTTTGTAAATGGTATTAATTTTATCTCCTTCTTCTGTTGGATCTTTCGGTTTGTATAATATCGAATTAAGCGACTTGACTGGTTTGTGTGCTATATCTATATCAAACGATTTCAATATTCTAGCTGTTATTTCAGAGATATTTTTCATGTATGGTAGGATGAATTTTCTTTTGGTCTTTGATGATGGTTCTTTGTTGGTGTTTTGATTCGACTTTAAACACTTTTTGATGAAATTTTGTGGATATCCACTCTTTTTGAAGACCGTTTGTAGGTATTTTTCTTCCATTCTTTTCAACTCTGGAGTGCTACAATATTAACTCTATTATGGCTAAATATTTTTTTATTTTGATAAAATCATACAGTGTTGTTATACAGTAATATTTACTGATGACCACGTTTCAAGCACAATTTATTATTACTGCTCATAATCATATCAAGGCACTACTCACACAAATTTCTTGCTTCATTTATATACATGAGTGAAAATTGCTGATTAGACATTGGAATAAAATCAATGTAAGGTAAAGTACATTCTCAAATAATGTTAGTATTATCATTAAATTATAGTAAGAAGGGAAATAAAATGTTTTTATAGTAAAAATAAGTAACTTGTGCAGTTATACTCTACCACAGAGCCCCAGTTTTATGCTCATGTTATGAATATTTTTAATATTTTATTCCATCTCTTATTCTTATTGTTCTTCTTGACTCGTCGTTTCCTTAACTCGTTTCCTTATTATTATTATTATTATTGTTATCATTCAGTTTGCAATACCTAAAATTTCCAAGTTCTTTATTTGATAATTAATTCAAGTATTGGTTTCTACGGATTTGATTGATTGGGTACAGGATTTCATCATGAGCTTTCATCGGTTATAGAGAACCATTGGAAAGCCAGCTGGGAATACTAGACAGCTGTTTTGTCAGTCTAGTCTGGAACTCTTCATCAGTAGGTATCCACACTGAGAGGTTAGGACCCAGGACCTTCTGGCTAAGAGGCTGGCGAGCTAGCTCGTAGACCATTAAGACACTGGGACCCGATCCAATGGCTGGTTCATGAATTTCAACTTCTATCAATTCACGTGAGGACAAATAATCGCCTTAAAACATTGGCTAGTGGTCGCGTTATGTCGTGAATTGGTAAAGGTTGGATTTCATGGACCACCTAGCCTAGCATGGTGGCCACATTGCAAACTTGACTGCTAAAGAGTTCAGTCTGTATCAAACAAATGACCAGATATGTGATAATAGTCACTTACTAGTATCCAATCAAAGTACCCCATTGTACTCCTAAAGGAGATCAGTCGCCAGCCTGAATAGCTCAGTGGTGTTAACATCTCTGACTGATGCACAGGGTAATACGGGTTCAAATATCAGAAGGGACATGAGTTCCTTAAAGACTGCAGATACGCCTTGTTGAATTGTGAGTACCTATAGGCACGAAACTTAGGTCAACTGGAGCTTCCTTCCAATTGCCTGCAACTGTCTAAAAATCCCATTCCCACCTGTCATTTTGCATAATCGACACAGTGTAGCTTAATAACTCAGTTACAGATCCTCGAATATGTATATATCACTCTACTTAGACAGTATTCAGCTGAAGACTGTTACCACCGTAACCTGATGAATTCATTAAACCCTACTTCATAAATTTGCATTTGGCAGTGAGTATTTCCAGTAGTGAATTAAACAAAAGACAAGAAACTTCCTAGTAATATATGAATTAAATTCATATTGTCAGACTTACTTCTTTTGATTTTCATTCATTGCGAATCGATACGATAAATTGAGAATGTAATACGCCAATATATAGATCAATAGATCAACCCATACCAGCTTGTACAAGCTTCCTTTCCATCTAAAAGAGATTTAAACAGAAAAATATTTTCATTTAGCTCTGTAGCATATGTTACTGATAAGATTTATAAGTAGTATACAGATTCAAATATAAAAATTCTTGTCAGAATCAAGAATATCGGTTGGCGGAGGGATGTATTTAATGAACGATGCTTTAGAAACAACATTAAAGACACAAGAGGATTACAAAGAAGGGCGATACGGAAGGCAAAGCAGAATAGTGCCGAAGATATATGCAAATCATGTCAAGCTGACAAGCTTCTTAGCTGGGTACCAGTCAGTTGAAAAAGAAACCCAATCAGATCCCTTGCTACTCACGTCCGACGCATATTCACTTCTGATACCCTGGAAGAAGAACTAAGCTGCCTGAAAGAAATCCTCATACAAAACGGATATCCACCAAGATTCATAGATAAAAACATCAAATAGAAAATCCAAAAGCAAGAGACGCCATCCATGCCAAAAAAGATACGTTTTATGAACCTCGACTTCAAAAGTGACCTACTCAGTGATATCCTTAAGAGGAGAATTTCCGATTCTTTAAGAAGAGCCTTCTTAGCGGAAACGCTGAGAGTAGTGTTCTCCAGTCGCCCGCTGATCTGCGGAAGCCCAAATGATAAGATCTTACACCTGACCTCTTCTATGTGTTTTTATCAGCTCACCTGTTACTGTGGAGCCAGGTACATCAGTTATTCGATGCGTATCCTGTCAAAAAGGGTCAAAGAACACTATCCAGTGCGGCTGCAGAAAGGAAGTAGTGGCTGTATAAGGAGTGCAATAATCGAACATCTCGTCACCACTGCTCATTCCATCTCAACAAACGCCTCCGTCAAGGTAATCTACAAAGTGAAGAACAACCTGCCAAAGACAATCGTTTCTGTCTTCTCTGCATTGCAGAAGCCCTAGCCATTCAGTTAGAAGAACTAGAACTATGCGTACAAAAGGAAATTATTCAGCTACTTCTACTATCATGGTAACAACTCTGTAGATATGACTTAAGTTTTGCTTGTTTTTCTAACTACTTAAAACTCTTACGTAACTCCATATTTTATTTGTTTTCGTGTTCACCTTGAGCACAACCGTTTCATAAAAACTATTCATATTATTACGTATATCTTCTTTAACAATCAATTGTGAGAACTCGTCACTTTTGTTACTACCCTCTTATATCAACATCCAGTTCCTCTGAGTACTTTTCGTATTATGTAACTTCACCCGAAACTTACTAATTCTCACCGATTGTATTTTTGTATGACAAACTTAATGTACACATAAATACAAAACAACCCATATATATCTACGATTGTAAAGCTGAAAAATTGAATTCTCCGAAAAGAGACTCTTCGCTGAACTACAGGTCTTCTCTCTGTTAATGTTCGAATAAGGATTTTTCATATATGTGTTACACTTGGCCACTGTGGTAGTAAGTAATTCCATATTAGTTTGTTTATTAGATATATCACACAGTGATGAAACAGTATTATTTACTGGATGACACAGTTTCGAACACAATTTATTGTTCATAATCATATCAATTGTGATCACACGACTTTGACACTTGAGTTTTATAGTTTTCTTTGTTTTCTCCTATTTGTCGTAGGGATAGTAGAAGTTTCCAGATATCGGGGACAGGTGATAAATCATTCCTATTACACGTGTAGGTTTGCACTAGATTCCATAAACAAGGCTTCTGTTATCAATCTCTCCCTATACCCTGTGACATTAGATTTTAAAACTGTCATCCTATCCCATCATTCTATTGTATGGTTGTGTGTAACTGCATGTTGTGAGTGGTATAGCTGAACTATTCTCCAGATTTCCTATCTTATTCGGATCAACCAATCTAGATTTTACTAAGTTTTTATGTTCACCTAGTCTGACTGCCCCTGTTCTATTAGTCTGACCTATGTATTTGACCTGACAATCATTGCATGCAGGGTATTACATAAACTAAATTGTTTTGTTTTAAAGGCTCCAAAGGATTGATCCTGTAACCGACAAAGCTTGTTTCTAATTGAGTTTGTGGGTTTGAATGTCAGCCACTTTTATTCTTGCCTGCATTGTTAAGAATTTTGCGTAAGGTTTCCGAAGTTCCTTCCTAGTATGGAATTACTGCTGATGATTTAGATTCCTTATTGTTGGTGTCGTTATTAATATTATTATTATTATCACTATTATTATTGTCATTATTATTGTTATCATCACTATCACTACTATCATTATTTATTTTATTTTTACATTTCCTTACATATTTCCTGACTAATTTATCCGGGTAATTATTAAGTTTCAAGGCTTCTTTTATATGTATCAGTTCTTGTTTTAGATTTTCTTTGGTACCACTTAATTTTTGTGCTCTGTCATTTAAACATTTCACCAATCCTATTTTTACTGACATAAGATGGGATGATCGGATGTCCAAATATCTGTTTGAGTGTGTGGGTTTCGTGTAAACACACTAGTGTGTTTAACTTCCCATCTTTCCTTTTTACGTTGCAATCTAACATTGGGGCTCTCGTTCCTGATTTTCCAATTCATAAGTGAATTGAATTGCTTCAACCTTCGAGTTGATGCTTTCGAAAAACCTATTTATATATCTTGTATTTTAAGTACAGTGAATGTGTCATCTACATACCTCCACTATACTTTTAGGGTGGGGGTGAACGTTTCAATCGCTATTCTTGTCCCACTTATCCATGAATAAATGAACAAAAATACATGAAAGAAAACCATGATTCTACTATACGCCAGATGTATTTTGCTTATATCTGTGTATCGAATTGCCGACAAATAATTCCGTCACTAATTCTCTCTTGGCTTCTGTCGTTATAGTTTCACACATAATTTTTGCATTTAAACAAAGCCTTCTCATCATTGATTATCGTACTACTCTAACGAATGAAAATTAAAGCACGTGATAGCGGAATTAGTAGACGCCAACCTTTTGGCGTTTTAACAATTTAACACATTTTGTGGGGTTAACAGTCAACTGGGTGTCATGAAAACACAGAATAGTACAAATAGACTATTAGATCATAGTAATCCTCCCCTTAGTCGGTTGTCAGCGTCCAGTTGCTAGTAATAACAGGGAACAGATAAGCAGAACAACCTGAAACTATGCCTAACTTCAATTACACGTAAGGCGATTAATTACAGTCAATCTAAATGGGTGTGTAGCAACATTTCAACTACACTTGGTAGGAACAAGGATGTCGAATCCACCGATGACGTTTCTGTTCGTAGTTTTTCTTTTTTCATGGAGGCCAGGAGTCAAACTCTGGACCACATTCGTGGTTAGCAAGCATTCTACTGCCAGGCCACTGACGCACTTCCTGTTTGTAGTGGACTGGAACAGTGCACGGTGGGAACCGACAGGACACTCGAAGATCTAGGCTTCGCAGACGACTTGTGTCTAATGTTACACAGACACGGACGCACACATAAATCTACGGACGAAAGCTGGCAAATTGGTAGAAGAAGCAGCGAATATAGGATGTGAAGTGAGCATAGAAAAGTAAAAGTCGATGAAGGTATCTAATCAACAAAGAAGTCAGCAGTCGCCATCGGCATGGGAAATTTGAAGAAAGTTACTTTTTTCACTTATCTGAGCAGGTTGCAGGGATGAGAATGTCAAAACTAGTCAGGAATGGAAAGGCAAGACAGAACTTCACTGCACTGAAATCATTCTGGAGATCTACAGTACTAAGTACAAGAAGCAAGACTACATTTTTCAAAGCTGATATCAAGTTCTTCAGAGTTACTACATAGTTCAGACATTTAGCACGTCACGGAAAGCAATTCAAACAGTCTTTTAACACGACATCTGTCTCATTCTGTGAACAATGAACATCAGAAAGGACAAAAGGCAACAAAGAAATCTGATAACGAACGAACCAATAACCTACTGTCCCAAAAATCTGTTGAAAAGGCCGAGATTGATTGGAAGTACGATGAATAAGACACTAAGTGACATCACGTGCCAGGCCCTCAAGTGAAACCCAAATGGAAAGTGGTACTGTCAGCCCCTGAAAGTCACATGGATAAATCATGTCTAGAGGATATAGGAGCCTGTAGACAATCACAGGACCAAATAAAAATGACAGTAGAGGACAAAGTGGAATACAGATGTATTATTGAAACTCTGTCTTCTACTCAAAACCCAAGGGATGAATAGTAAAAATACAATAGGTAAGAATAAGAATAATATCTAGTAAAAAGTAGCAAAATTATATCCATAATATATATACTACTTAGTAATAGATAAAAGTAGTTTGGAATTAATTCAATCTGTCTGTGATGTTCACTAACGAGTTATACTTATTTAAAACGGAGGAGATTCATTCGTTTAGTACATATCAGGGGCTTCTTCTCAAAGCATTTATGGCTACCAGAAATCAGATGCCTACTGGTATAAGTAATCAAATTATTTTGTCAATACTCGCACACTTGCATGCGAAACGCAATAAACTGGCAGAAGAAGCCAGTAGCGAGGACAGGACTGCAGGTGAACATAGAGAAGGCAGAGGTGATGAAGATAACAAACGAACCACAACAGTATCAACAGCAACCAGCACCAATCATCATCAGCGGGAGAGATTTGACAGAAGTTACTTCCCTCAGCTATCTAGGAAGCATCGTCTCAAAGCCAGCCAGCCAAAGTCGGAAAGTCAAGATACGGCATCATCCACCTGAAACCAGTTTGAAAATCTTCTACACTCAACATAAGGAACAAGATATGGACTTTCAACACAGGCATAAAGTCGGTAAGTCCTTCTATTCGGGTCAGGAAATTGACCAGCGTGTAACTAAAAGGATTTCCAACAGGTTGTAGACTTTCACCAACAGTTGCCTTCATTCCACACTGAAGATCAAATGGCTAGTCAGAAACAATTAGTCACAAGAAACTGTGGGAAAAAAATAACACACGTGGACCCATCGCTCAACAAATATTTAGGAGAAAATGGAGATGCATCGGGCATAAATTGAAGAGGTTGTCGAAAGACA